GGTGGTTGGGTGCATTATGTTACGTTCTGTTTGAAAATGATGATTTTATTGTTACAATTAATTTTATTACAGTCCCGGACTAAATAATTAGATGCACTCCTGTGTTTTAATAATTTATTGTTTTATATCGAGTTTATAAGCAGTACTTTTGCATACTGTTAAGGTGTGGATTTGGAAAATAAATAGTCGTACTTTACTACTATTATAAAAGGCTTTATTTCCTATAACATACATACTAATTAAACTAACCTAACTTAAGCCACCATACTTCTTACTACCACCTACAACTACATGATACTCATTGACATTACTATTATTGTCTGTCATGTCAACCCATGACACTATGGGTGCGTTCCGCTTACTCTTACACCAATATATCTGTGTATACAATATAAATGTATTACATTCTCAACACGCCTCCTTACATTTACATTGTATTTACATTAATTCAAATTTAACATACTTCGAAATTTTTCAAATTTATCTTGGCCCAAGGACTTCGTAAAAATATCTGCAATATTATCATCAGAATCTACTTTAACCACATTTATAACATTTGCTTTAACATAATCATTTACATAATGATAATGAATTTCAACATGCTTAGAATTTTTGTAAAATTGCCATAATTAGCTATACTAATTGTACCAGTGTTATCTTCATAAACATCAATTGGCTTTATTATTTCAATATCAAATATTTTCAACAATTCTTTTACAAATATCAATTCACTTACTGCTTCTGACAATGCTACATACTCTGCAAAAGTTGAAGCTTTTGTAACGCTTTTTGTTTTCTAGATTTCCAATAAATTACATTACCAAACAATCTTATTACAAAACCAGTTGTAGACTTTCTATCTAAATGATCACCTGCCCAATCGGCATCCACATAACAATCAATAATACTTACTTTTTCATTTCTGTTATAAAACAATTTTAAATCTTTAGTTAAGCATAAATATTTCAAAATTCGTACAGCATATTTAAAGTGCGTTTCATTATAGCAATTTTGAAATCTACTCAGATAATTTACGCTGAAACTTATATCAGGCCTTGTTGCCGAACTTATGTATAATAGTGCACCAATTAAATTTTTATATTTAATATTTCTTTCACAATGATCAGATTTATCAATTTTTAAATTTACTTCCATAGGTGTATTATACAGTTTACCTTTTTCTAAATTATATTTTTTCCTTAATAATTCAATATATTTATTTTGATCCAATCTCATTTCATGTTTACTAGAATCATAATCAACAGTAATACCAAGATATTCTTTAATTTCACCAATATCTTTCATTTTAAATTTTTCTGATAATAAAATTTTAATCCTTTTAATTTCATTTAAATTTCTACCACAAATCAATAAATCATCGACATAAATTAATAAGTAAATAATATCATTTCCAATTTTATAAACGTACAAACAAGGATCAATATTACTTCTTTCAAAACCTAAATTTATCAAAATGTATCTAGGCACTCATACCATGCCTTGGACTTTCTTTTAAACCATATAAAGCTTTAACTAATTTACAAACTTTACTTGTTCCATCTTCATAACCCTTAGGTTGTTTAATATAAACTTCAGAAATTACTTTACCATTTAAAAAGGCTGTTTCAACATCCATTTGTTCAATTACTAGGCCCATTTGACAACAATATGACAATAAAATCTTTAATGTTTGCATTTTAGCCACAGGTGAATAAATATCATCAATTTCATCAGTTTGTTGAAAACCTCGTACAACCAATCTAGCTTTATAAGTATTATCAGACTTTTTAGTATAAACCCATTTAACATCCAGAATATTTTTGTTTGTATCATTTTTAACCAATTTCCAAGTTTTACTTTTATTTAAACTATCAATTTTCTTTGTCCATAGCTGTTTTCCAATACTTACTTTCATTAGAATTTATCGCCTCCTCAAATGTATGTGGTATATCAGTTCTACACATATTTACAAAAATACTACTATTATATACATAGTAGTCATCAAATTTCTTTGGAGGATTTTTGGCTCTGTGAGATCTAGGTAACTCAGGTTCATTTTTATTCACACTATCATCCATACTTTCATTTGTACTTTCAAAAGTTTCATCTATTGAGTCATTTTCAGAGCTTTCATCAATTTTATCAGGGTAACACTCTTCATTATTATCATTATCTGATTCGTTAAAGTCTAAACCTATACACTTAACGTTTTCTTCAACAATATCCACGTGTCTAGCAACAATGACTCTGCCATTTAATAATACACGATAACCAACATTACTATAACCAATTAAAATTCCCATATCAGCTTTCTTATCCCATTTAGAGATTCTCTTCTGTTCTGGTCTTCGTACAAAAACTTTACTTCCATACAAACGCAAATTAGAAACATCAGGTTTCTGTCCAAAAAATATTTCATATGGAGTTTTCTTTTCAATTGTATCAGATAAAGTACGATTTTTCAAATAAACCGCAGCACAAACTATTTCAGGCCAATATTTTTTATGAATATCTGCTTCAGCCAACAAACATCTTGACATATCCATTATAGTTCGATTAAACCGTTCTGCAGTCCCATTCAATTCATGTACATATGTAGGACAATTATCAATTACTATACCCTTTCTTTTGCAAATCTGTAGACTTTACTGTTCAAATATTCTTTCCCATTATCACATCTTAAAATCTTTATTTCTTTCCAGTCAAATTTTCACTTTCATTCGTATATTCATTCAAACAATCACATACTTCTGCTTTTGATTTTATAGCATATACTTTAGAAATCTTACTATAATCATCAATGAAAGAAACAAAATAATTTTCACCTTTAAACCCAGTAGTTCGAAAAGGCCCACAAACATCAGTATGTACAATCTCTAAAATATCTTTAGCTTTTTTTCTACTGTTTACAAACGGAATATTATGCATTTTTACTTTCAATACAAATCTTACATTTCATAAATTCAGATTCAAACTCATTAGGAATTCCATTCAACAGCTGATCTTTAGATAAAATATTCAAATATTTAAAATTTACATGACCTAATAAACGATGCCATTTTTCCTTTTGATTCATATTATTCATATCTTTATTTGCAACATTTACATGCAATTCAACTGATTTTAATTTACTTTTCATAATATATAAGCCATTATTTTTTAAAGCAACTGCTGTTATATTACCAAGTTTATCAAAAACTTTTGAAATATTACCTAGAGAAATAATCTTATTATTTTCTGTTATTTTGCTATAACTTATCAAATTTGATTTCATATCTTTAACATAGAAAACATTTTGCATATCTACTAAACTCTTTTTACCAAAAGCATCAAAGTAACTTAAAACATTTCCAATTTTAGTAGCTTTTACAACCCTATTATCTCCTAAATAAACATTAATGGGATCTTTAAGTAATTTACATTTATCAAATAATTTTTCATCATTAATAATGTGGTCTGTACAACCACTATCTAAAAGCCATTTTATTTCAATACAATTATTTACATTACCTATTTCAGTATTTTGTGCAATAACTGACATATCCTTACCAAGAGCTACTGTTGTAAGCCAAGAAGCACTGTTTCGCTCTTCGTTCTTCTGTCCTTGTCGGTTGAACCGCTGTGCACTTGTTCCATGCGTTCCGCGCTGTCCACGTGAGTGGCCACGTCCTCTGACGTAGCTTCCTCTTCCGGCTTCTTGTCGACCTCGCGTTTCTCTCCACCAGCCTCTACTGCTTGTCGTTTGTCCGCCATTACCCGACGCTTGATTGGCGCCATTTTTGCAATCTCGCTTGAAATGACCAACTTCGCCACACTGGAAGCATGATCGATCCTGTCGACCTTTATTTACCACAAATGTACTGGATTTTCTTCCAAAATCATTGTTTTGATTTTTTAATTCGGACATCATAACCTTAGTTTTTACGTAGTCTGCAGTTTGATCATCTTCTTTTAATGTATCTATTAAATCACCAATATAACTGTACGACTCTGGCAACGTGTTTAACATATAGTTCAATTTTTCCTTTTCAGACACACTAGCACCCGCGCTTTTTAACTCGTTTATAGCTTTTTCGAAGTCACTAAAAAATGTTGCACAGTCTCCATAGTTGTTCAATTTTAATCTTTCCAAGTTATTTCTACATACTATCTGCAATGCCGTTGATTCTTTCAAATATAAATTATCAAATTTCTTTATCATCTCATACGCCGTAGTTTTTTCGTCGATGTACTCCATCTGTCGATCCGATATTGCACCGCATATATAATTCATTGCTTTTACATCATCGTCATCCCAATTTGTATCATCATTTTCATTTTTCGGTCTGGTTACCACAACATCACACTTCTTCATTTTCAAAAATAGCATAAGACGTTTTTTCCACATTTTATAATTCTCCCCATCGAATATAGGTATTCTAAAATCACTACTACCTGCCATCATGTGTCACACTTTTTTTTTTCAAACTGCACCAAACTTTTTCTGTTGTAAAAGGTACGACTTTCCAACCACGGACCTCTGCTACCATGTTAAGGTGTGGATTTGGAAAATAAATAGTCGTACTTTACTACTATTATAAAAGGCTTTATTTCCTATAACATACATACTAATTAACTAACCTAACTTAAGCCACCATACTTCTTACTACCACCTACAACTACATGATACTCATTGACATTACTATTATTGTCTGTCATGTCAACCCATGACACTATGGGTGCGTTCCGCTTACTCTTACACCAATATATCTGTGTATACAATATAAATGTATTACATTCTCAACACATACAAACAAACATGTAATGGATTTTTATTCAGGAAAGTTATTAAAATATTTCGTATTTGTATTTATTTGTCACATATGGCAACACTGTGTTAATAAATTCTTGCCTGAACCACAATACGCTTACAACACTAAAAGAACTGAGTCACGTTGCTTATCGCCTTCCTTTAAGGAATAATTCGCAAATATTAATATATAACATTGTTGTTTTTCTAGTTACTTTATAAGTCACATCCCAGGTGGATGGTTGGCAGATAAATTTGGAGCCAGACATGTAATGGGTACCTGCATGGTAGTGTCTTCAGTAGTGTCCATCTTGACTCCTGTGGCCATTCAATATGGCAGCTCGTGGGGAGCAATCATATTGAGAATTATATTAGGATTTGCTCAAGGTCCAATGTTACCAACTATTTCTACTTTTATACAGTGTTGGATACCAAAACATCAAAGGGGCTTTTTGGGAGGAATTGCCTTTGGAGGTTCAAATATGGGAACTGTCACTGGCAGTATCTTGACAGGTATAATTACTTATAATATTATTATAATTGTACTTATAAGGGTTGTCAAATTAAAAAATCATTTAACAGCTGCAAAAGTAAAGTGTGTCTTTATCTTGATGTTATTTTTAGGGATGATGATAACAGGTGCCAAAAGTTGGGTAGTTCCATTTTATGTTTGGGGAATATGTGCCTTAGTATGGTGCTTCTTCTATTACGTATATGTATATTCAAGGCCTAATTTACATCCTTTTATCACCGAAGAAGAGAAGAATTATCTGATTACCGAAGTGGAGCAAAAAACGAAGTTTAAGGTACCTTGGAAGTCTATTTGTACCTCCTTGCCTGTAAGTATAGGAAATCCTAGGAAGTCTTATAGCCCTAATATATACGGTCATTTTATCAATAAGATCACAAGAATAGGAATCATTAGATATATTTCTAACGTATATAAATGATGATTCTATCGAACTAAATTTCCAAATATCATCATCTAATTTGGATAAAAAGCGGCCTATATAGTAAATTAAGTGATTAACCCTAGAACCACACGGTTATGTCGGATTCGACATCGAGTCTGACATTTTTATGCACATTCAGAAATACTATTTCTGTACAATTTTTTGGAATATATCTTTTACACGAACCTTCTCTGGATAATAACAAACACAACAAAAAAGAATTATCTAATTTGGTGCAGTCGTTCTGAAGTGAAACCAGTACAAACATTTCTGCTATTCATTTTTAATAATATAGATTTTAACAGCCGTGTATGAAGATGTGATACTTATAAATATTTTCATTATTTCTTAATACTGGCACTCTAATAAAGTAATAGAAACGGCTCGTTTAGAAATACATAATAAATATTAGGTATGTAAAACTTTTTAGAACTTTTACTTTTATAAAAGAATTTTTTATCACATTTTGGTTGTTTTTAACAAGAAGTTTTTTTGGAAAAGTGTTCACTTTTAATATTTTTGTAGGTCTGGGGACTACTAGCTGGTCAGCTCAGTCATAACTTCATTTTTTTTACACTTTTAACCGATTTACCGAAATATCTAAAGGAAATTTTGAAGATGAACGTTAAATCTAACGCCAACACCACCGCTTTACCGTTCCTAGCCCTGTGGGTGGCGAATATATTCTTCGCCTACGTAGCGGATTTTGTAACTAATAGAAATTGGCTGAGTTTATTAAATGCTAGAAAGTTGTACACTGCGTTTTCTTGCATAGTACCGTCTTTATTGCTAGTTCTTATGGTATACGTTGGATGTAACCGATGGGCAGCCCAGGTGTTAGTTTCAATATCGTTCTTCCTGGTTGGACCCTTTTTTTCTGGTATGAAGGTCAATGTCAATGATATTACTATTCATTACGGAGGTAAGTTTTATTTACGAACTTATATACATATATCATTTTTCATATAAAAAAGCTTGCACGTCATTCAAGATTTACGTCGTCAGAACCCCACAGCGTTGCCAAAACATCAGAATAGTTAGTGAGGAATTTTAAAAATTTCAACTATTTGTTAAACTATTATATTAACTGTAAATACACTTAGTTTTAAGACTACTGCAACACACTAAAGTAAATAAAAAAAAACAT